CCATCATGTCAATATGGACCAAAATCTCTGAGGAATGCTTCCAGCACCTTGTTGAATCTATGCCACGAAGAAGTGAGGCAGTTCTGAAGGCAAAAGGGGGTCCAACCCGTTACTGGCGTGGTGTACCTAATAAAGTGACCGGTGAGTGTATATATATATACACACACATACATATATGACCCACACAGAATATAAAGATACTGTATCTATGCAGCCCTCGGAGAGATTAAATTCAAATTTTCTGCACTCCTAGAGACTAAGTGCACAACAAAAAYTATTTAACAGCTAAAAAGGTTTATTTGCACAATATGTCCACTTCAATGACAGTTATTGGATCAGAATCAATGGAAGAAAGTGGGTTTATTGTACAACTTCATTTCAATAATATTCATAGCCTACATTCATCTCCATAATACATGGATTTGTAGGGATGGTGTTCCAGGGCCTTGAACAAATTTTTTCAAATTCAAATATTTTCAAGGATTTCAAGGAGCTGTGGGAACCCTGTATTTATTAAAGTACCTTCTCCTGTGTGAGTTCAGACACGTAGAGGGTGTGCCCGTGTTCATCCAGCTCCTCTGACCAGCCTCTGGGGGGCGACCCGTACTGACTGTCAGACTGACTGGAGTGGGTYCTGTGGCAGTTCTCCTCTGAGGACAGTGGCTGTGGAAGAGGAAAGCCAACAGGGAGACAGATTAATGAAGCATCACAAAACCATACACAACTAAAAACTGGGTGAATCAAAACTCCTACAGCTCTTCCAGCAGGACATTTATGGAGCCAATCAATCTAATAAAACATACTTTCATGTTTTGGTCCTCAGAGCTTTTGAAACATGAGACTCTGACATCTTTTTTATGGTGAAACTGTTTATTTAAACTCATATGTCTAAATGTCTTAGTGAATTTTTCTGGGCCTTATTGATCTGTTAAGTACAACAAATATCTACTCTAATAATGACTAATAATATTTTATATGTAAGCATGTGTTTCATTAATTTATGTTTGCATATTATGAATATTTTTAGAAAACAGAAGCGTCTTCTTTATCAAATTATATTTAGACAAGAAAGTAAAGCTTTTTTCCTACATTCCATACTTTTAAAGAAAATACTGAAACCATTTCTTCACTGCTAATAAAGAAAATATTTGTCCGTTGTAAAAAATACTGTTGCAATCATTTCTAAACTTCAACAACAAAATGTTTACTTGCTGCCAAATATATAATATTTACCTTTATCTCCTATCGCAACAAGAAGTTCAAAGTATTTCACTTCTCTTGTCAATGTTTATTGCATAGATTCTCACGTGAGCTTCCTCAAATAATTTATAGAAATCAAATAAAAAAGTAAATTAAAAACATAATTGCTAGGACTGTTTGTGTTATTAATGCTTTTGTTTAGTTGGGGTAAAGAGAATCCTCTGCCTCTCTTATTTGTGGGTCAGAAGGACCACTGATGCAATTTTGTATTTAATATAGCTGCAGTGCAGGAGGACACCACCAGGGGGCAGTGTTGAATAATGAAAACAAAAAATGACAACCAGTTAGGAAGCTGACTTCCCCACATCAAAAGCTGTGTCTCTCCTTTCAGTAATCAGTCATTTCAACCAGTTTAAACTGTGTGAGCTGAAATGAACCTTCGGTCCATGTGTCCTGACAGAATCTATTCCCAGGCTAAAACTCTAAAATCTTCCTCATTCAAGACCACAGATCTTTTAAAAAAAAAGCTTACCTCACTCTCTGCTGTGCCCTGGCTGTCTCCTCGGACACTGATGGTGCTGGTGCTGCTGCTGGTGTCTCTGGTGCGCGGTGGCTTCCAGGTCCGCTCCCCTGTGGCACGGTTGTAGTAGAAATACCTGCCGCTCAGGTCTTTATGGGTCTCCCAGTCACCCAGGATGTGGAGCGGGGAGCCGGAGGGGATGGGCGGCAGGCTGGACTGAGAGATCTTCAGCTCCTGGAGATTGGTGTACACTGGGGAGTCGGACCGGCCATGACCTGTGGGCGACGTTGTCTGGAGAAAGAAAAACAGAGGTAGATTAGAAACTCCATCCATCCATCCATTATACCTGGATACCTATCTTCAGTGGTCAGTGATGAACACACAGCATATACTCCTGGACAGGTAAACAGTAACCAGTCCACATATAGAAGAACAGCCACGCATGAATCTAATTAACAGAAAATTAATGATGTGGACTGTAAGAGGAAACTGGATATCCTACACAGAAATATCCTGACCGAGTTTTGAACTCGGGATCTTTTTGCTGCGAGGCAACGGTGTTAACAGGTTCAGTGCAGCTTTTGTTACACTTGTGATTTTACAAACTCATCTGTGCATTTATTATTTTAATTCATATTTTTATTATTTTAGTGGMTTTTTTTTTAGTATTGCTTTGTAAATTATGTTTTGTTTGAATATATTCTGGGGATAAAAGGGGCAGACATTATAAGATCTATTATTCTTCTGGTACCTTTCATTTTATTTTCATTTTTGATTTGTGTATTTTCTTTGTTTTATATTATAGTTATTTTTTAATGAAATTAATAAATTTTTTGAATTGGATTGAAAAAATTGAATTGAATATTTCTGAGGTTGTTTACGTGTGACTCCATGTTTTCTTTAGAAATTAGTGATGTTCCTGAAATTGAACAATTAGTGAAAACCACAAAAACACTCCAGGGTCTGCTGGAGTCAAACTATTCTGTGAAATATCTGGCTTTTATAACTTTTTTTAAAGTAAAMATCGCCTGCCGCATTTCATCCCAGAGTTTTAGWCTAACATGATTATGATGGGAAGGGGTGAGGTTGCAGCAGTTTTGGTCAAACATTGAAAATCAATCAATCAACCTAACTTTATTGTCCATGACATTCCATTAAATGGAAATACTGTATGCACTGTAGATAAGCACCAGCTACCACCACACCAAACTTTCGCTCAATATCTGTGATCTACAGCAGCAAGCTTGAATGTCATCCACAAGTTAATCAGACGTAGATGTAAATCTATGTTCTGCAAGTTTCATATAATGTGTCCAGTGACTCAGGAGCTACTTTGATAACAGACACTTACAGGAACTTAGACACAAAAACGCACAGGCATGAGCAAAGACATGAATGTCTACCTTCACCTTTTGGTGGCAGACAATTAATAGATAATGTGATTAAATGAGCAACTTGCTGTACCGTGCTTATCCTGTTATCTAACCCATTCTGTCCCTCGAGATGAAAGAGTAGTGTGGATGAGAGAGAAAAAAGCAGTGAGTGTTTTTAGAGGTCTATATGGCAGCCACTGAATCTCATCAGCAGCACATGTGGCCTGCAGACACTAAATGTTATCAGTCTAAATCTGAGTCCTGACACCAGATGGACTCAGATAATGTGCTAAAATATATCTAACAACACAGACAGCAAGAAATAAAGGGCTACTGGTATTTTAATGTGGACATTTTTCATAAATACAAAGGATAAAATGTCTCAAACAATGGTTTAGTTGTCCTAGTCTCAACTACCATATTTATTTGTGTATAATACAATCTCATATATAATACGACCCCCCCCCCACCTTTTTGAGCTTAAAAAGCATAAAAAATTTAATCCTCAAACTACCTCCAATTTCATACAGATTTCAAGATTTTTCAGCCTTTGCAGTCTTTATACATATCAGTAAAATGATCATTGAACTTTTTATTTTATTTTAACAACATATGTACTAAAAGTTATTTTGACAACAAATATACAGTATATCAGCTGTAGCAGCATCATATGAATTCTGGCATTTTACACATAGTCCACCAAGAGGCACCAATACAAAAGTCAGAGACTTCACATGAGGTTTGGACCATCTTGTGGGGCAAATGCAGATTACTTCCTACTCGCGAGCGCCCCCTCTGGTGGGGAAACTTTTTTCAAGGATACAAACTTTTTCAGAACACCGGTAGACGGCAGCCATTACAGACGAACATGTGTTTGTTGTTGTTCCAGGAGCGGCCCGGTCACACCCTAATGTCATTAGTTCYRTATCATTACTAAGGTGCAGGACTACTCCCCCCCCCCCCCCCACCCCACCCCCCACCGCTTTTTTTCACATCATGTCGCCTGCCTGGATCTCTTACTATCTCACTCTGAAGCACGGAGGAGTGTCAGAGGTAAGCTCGTTTCAACTGCTTTTAATGACGCGGTCTCATTTCTGGACTGAGGCATTTTGTGAATGAAGCAGATATTTCAGTTAAAACAGATAAGTAAAAATATTTATCCGAGTATAATACTACCCCTCAACTTTATGGATGATTTTATGGATTAAATTTTACGTATTATACTTGAATACATACGGTATGTATTTCAGCAAACATCAGGAAGAAAATTCTTAAAATAAAATTAAAAGAGCAGTGGAGAGAGGCTTGAGCTGGATAATATGCATTTATAGTTTGTTTATACCCTCCCAAAAGGGTTGTAAATAAGTTGCCAAGAAGGCAAAGAGGGTGATAAATACAGTTAATTGCGTGCAGCATTTTTTTCTTCACACAACAAGTGTCTTAGTAACCATTGTGCTGCAAACATTACTTAAAACCCTGTTGCAAAATATTGGTTTGGGGATGAGAGAAGCGCGCCAAAAGTAACATGTTGTGCAGAAAATGCAGGAGGAAGTCGAAGAAAAAAATGGAACTTGTGAACTTCACTTTTGTACAAGTGAAAAAAAGTCACTAATTATAGAAGAGCAACGTTCCACCGCTGCACATTACAACTTCAGGGAGAACAGTATAAACTGAACTTAAACGCAGTAAAACAAAAATAAAACAAAACAGGAGTGCACATTATTTGTGCTGATACACATCAAAGACCATTTCTGAGGTGGTCTTTTAAAACTTGGCAGCGGCAGCGGGTCATGTCACGAAGAAAAGCAAGCTACGGTTCAGATCTTTTAACTTTCTGTGTGCTCTCACAAGAATTTGAGAAGTTTTGGTGTAAATTTCGGTCGTTAAGACCCATAGCAGCTTCTAGTTTCTGCAGAGAAGATTCAGTGACATCACARARACMTTTGTATTTTTATCTTTATTAGGACCATTCACTGACTGCCATTCATTTCCACAAAATTCTATAGCCTAAACCTGACACCACCAGTCCATACCTATCCCTAAACCTGACCTAAACTCAATTCATACCTTAGTCCTGAACCAAACCCCCAATCCAAAAATGGAGTTCCACCATATTAGGACTGGTCTTTGGTCCCCACTAGGATTACTGGTCTTCTTGACAAGGTAGGTGTGTATACCAGATAGTGTTGTAGTCAAGATCACCTAACCCGAGACCAAGTCAAGACCAAGACCTTTAGGGCCTGGACCAAGTCGAGACCAAGACCGAGGGAGGGCAAGACCAAGCCAAGACCAGAAAAAAAAGAGTTCTGTTAAAAGGTGGAGTATTCTGTACACAGAACAACATCAGCTACAACATTAGCTAACATTAGCTAATGTTTGCTTTCTTCCGGATATTGTTTTACAAATATATTCTTTATGATTTTAGTAGTTGAACTGTATGATTGAAGATTTTGCAGACATCTTCTCCCACTACCAGAGAACTATTGGGAGTGCCGTGTGCCAGTGAACCGGGTGGGGATGGGTGACATGGCTAACAAAAATACATGAGTCAGGTTTGGATTTGAATAAGTATGTTTTACATCAAATGAAACAAGAATGTTAACAAATAAATTCAACAACATTCTGGCTATTTAGTGATATTTCCAKAGTTGTGGTCTTGACTGGTCTTGAAATAAAATCCAGCGACCTCAATGTCTGAGACCGAGACAAGACTGAGTACAAGTGGTAAAGTCCGAGACAAGACCAAGACCATCAAAAAGTGAGCTTAAGACCAAGACCGATCTCAAGTACTACAACACTAATACCAGAAACGGTCCTAAAAAGATAACAAATACAAGCACACACACACACATGCACACACACACCCTCTGTTTATTACAGGTGAGGAAGGAAAAAATATTTCAGCTCAAAGGATTTGATCTTGTTTCAGGACACAGATGGGACTTCCTGCCAGTCTTGGAATAAGAAGAATACTTCTCACATGAATTATTGTTTCATATCCTGCAATCGTGCCAGAGCAGAACAAAAGTTTGAGCCGCATCCTGCTATTTCCACTCACTTTTCTTTTTCTGCCTTCCAGCTTCAGTCCGACACACAGAAAGCGGACGGAGCAGTTTGGCAAATCAAAAAGCTTTGGCTCAACTCAAGTTCAGACTCATCCATCAACACTGAAAAGGAGACAGTGAGCCAGAGCTTCAAAGTCATCAAATCTAAATGCAGATGACTGAGTTTGGCCTCCAAGTCCATTAAGGGTCTGATCCGCCCAGATAAACGTGGGTCTTTCACACAGAAGTTCAACAAAAACATTTTTCAGAGCAATTCAAGAAATAATTGTGCGTACAGTGGAGTGTGTGCACAGCTCGTTACTGTGTGTAGGAACAAAGCCCCAGTGTTGACATGCATWCCACACATGTCACACTCATTTCAGCTCATAGTATTTGGACTGCTTTACAAGGGGAGAAACGCATGAAAAAATAATGTGACTACTTTGTGTTGAAAATACATATAATTGTTGGAATTAAAAATTATGAATGAAGTCGAAGCAGTGATAGTCAGTGTGAGCTGTGCCGAGAACAGACCGAATCATCAGATCCAACACGTTGCATGGTTTAGTGAAGCAACTGGTCAATTTTACAGATACTGAGCAAAGATGGCAGTAGGTAAGAGTCACACCAACACACACTACAAACTGCAACAAAAAGAAAATCACCCCGTAGCTGAGTTTGAACCTGCAAACTTTTTGCAAAGAGGCAACTGTGCTAATCAACTGTGCCATCAAGCAGCCTGGGCGTGTTTGCATATTAAAAACCTGGACAGTTAATCAAGTTTATACCTATGAAACCAGTATTAGAGCTGAAAAAACAGGGCAACTGTTCTAGTGCAATATTTTACACAACTCCTAGTTAGAGATGGGGGGTT